TTATGAAATACTATATGGCAGTAAAACAAGAATACAGTTTGAAAGGGGAGTGATTTGTAAAATATCCATAAAGAAAAAGAACATCTGCTTACAGTTGTGTTTCATCTGGGTGTTGAGAGATGTATCCATAGATCTCTTAATGTTGCTCTCGAAGTGCACCAGATTGATGCTTTTAACTTCAATATTTAAAACAAATCTTTCCGGGGGAGCATCCCCCCGGACCCCCCTAGAGGAGGTGAGGTCCGCTCCCCACTCGTAAAAAATAGCACTTTACCCCTGCCTATATGCCGTGAGCTGATTATCGAGCCTTCATTGTAACAGTCGCGGGTTTACTGTGTGTTTGCGTGTGGGGAGTTTTTTTGTGCGTGCTCTATAGTGCCCGTAATAGTGTTCACTGGAGTTCAGCACCTCAGCACCCCCACTCAAAATACCTTCCCGCGCCTCTGTATGTTTCACTGTACTGCCTTGGTTTCAGTTTGGCCTCTTTCTTACGTTTCTCTGCGGGCTCCTCTGAACCCTGGCCTGAATCCAGAGCAAGGGGACGTTTCAGCCATTTATCCATAGCGCAGACCTACCAGTATTTTTCTGGCTGCAGGTAAGCAGCTGTTTTCATTGTGGGATTTTGGCGCAGTTGTGCCACAGACTATTGTCTCCCTAGGGAAACTAATCGCGCACTATCATTTTTGACGGGATTATTATTTTTTTTACTTGTCACCTTGGAATTCCACGTACCCCCTGCAGTTCCCTCACGTACCACTAGGGGTACGCGTACCCCCGGTTGGGAAACACTGACTTACACTATACTTAATAGATTTAAGGTGGAGTTAAGAGAAAAGAACAAATGTCAACTCACGTCTTCATCTTTCTCCAGCTCCAGCCCCATGTCTCTCAGTTTCCCCTCAAACTCCTCCCTCCTGAACATCTTTTGATCCTCGTGACCATTGACAGCCTCTCCGGGATGACCCAGCTCCACGTCGGCCCCCGGGGAGGATGGCAGAGACGAAGAGTCCTTGGCCTTCTGTGCTTTGTGATTTCGGAGATGCTCGTTGCGTCCACGGCGAAAGCTGCGGGCCACGGCATTCTCAGTGAGCAGGTGTGACGTCGGTCGGCTGGACCGGGCCCCGGCGGGCTTCTTCACATGGTAGGTGAGGACGTAGTCCACCCGCCGCTGACCGTCCTGGAAGTAGAGTCCATGTTGGCACTGGGTGTTCTCCTCTGGGGTCAGAGCCTTCAGCAGCTGACAGCAGCACATACACAGACAGACAGAAGGGTTTGTTTAAAAGAGGATTTTTCTTTTCATTTTCATGGAGGCAAGATTAAAAGCTAGTGATGATTTGGAAAATGTGTTATAACAGTACATTCCACAGTTGATATGGCATCACAGTCTGGTGAAAAGTTATGGTACGGCAAAAATATAATGACAAATATAATCAGACTCACACGTCCATGATTTCATGTGAACATTATTATTTCAATGTTTACTATTATATAAAGTTGAGACTAATTGCCGAGCCACTCCAATCAGGAATGGTGCCATTCCCTGCCTCACTCTCTGATGGATGTATGAATGAAGTGATAAGTAGTAGTACAAGACAAACGTTTTTAAGTGCGTTCACTTGATAGAGCTACTGGCCCATACTGGGGATCAGACCCTGCTGCGGCGGATGAAGGTTCAAATCTGGCCAATAAACCTTTTACGCGTGCATCCCGTCTAGCTTTTATATCTATCTTTTAAAATAGACTGAACTATCAAAGAAAAGTGTTTGTTGACTTGCTATACATATTAATGTTCCCAGTCTGAATGTATGATGAAATAATTCTGCATAATAAGAGGCCAGGTGCAGAAACACACAGACATAGAGAGCACTCATCCTCCGATCTGTCAGTGAGAGAACAATGTCCCAGTCCCATAGAACCACACACACATCACTGGGGCAGGGGGAACGAATATGAAATGATTTATGTTTAACTAAACTTGTATTGCTTAGTGACAAAATCCTACTTCAAAGATTTGTCTTCCTATTAAAATGAAAACATATACATAATGTGCAGTTAATACATCAAACTAATAACAGCCGTGAACCCATGAAATTCCATTGGCTCATATGTTATAAGACTCTCAAAAAGGAAATAAAAAATGGACTGTAGCCTATACCAACATTTATATAAAACGCCAGATAACAAATACAGAAACATCTGAATCAGTAACAGAAATAAATCTGAATCATGAATCATAATCATCCATTCATAAAAAACGATTAAAAAAAAACATTATAACATTTAAATAAATAAATTATAACATGAAATATAGATACTGTAAACTAACAAACTACGTACAGTGTACACTGACAAAATACTCAGAGTGCCCTCTGTGTTGCTTTTCAGTAGATTGTAAATTAGACAGTGTGTGGATTATGAGCTGTGCCAAGATCTGAGTCTACAGAATCTCTCCTTCTTAAGTCTACTTATAACGTCTGGCTGCAGATCTGAGGGATGGGGACAGATCAAGCTACACAGACATTTACACAAATATTTTACACCTGAAAACTAGTTTACTCGTCCCAGGTGGGGTTGGGTTCCAATTTCTGGTTCTATGTTGGCGATATATAGATTACCCAAACTCTGACCCTAACACAGCTGGTATAGGGATGTAGTGATTACATATGTGTGTAGGCCAGCCTGGAAGCTGAAAGGAGCCCTTGACAACAAGCAGGGGGATTTCTCCTTTGGATTTCAGACTATTAGAAAATAAGATCTTTGGCAAACACACATTTATGATGCTTACAAGATTTGTTCAGCAGGATAAACTCCACATATTAACACCACTTGGTTGATAGTTGAAGCATAAATGCAATTACCAGACAAGTTCACTTTAGGATATAAACAAACTACATCACGGTAACATGACTTCACGTCACCACCGCTAAACTAAAGACGGCTAATTTTCAGCACGATGACATTTAGTAGTATCATTAAGCCAATTGTTAGCAACCACTGCTATAGAAGCAGTATGATATTTTCTGATATACTTTATTTTATGTTCTGTGTTAATATTCTATGTGTCATTAAAAAGGTGGTTGCTAACAAGTGACTCAATGAGATTGTCATCACGCCGAACAGTCTGCATTTAGCTTAGCGGTGGTGATGTGCATCCATGTGACCGTCATGTAGTTTGTTTATAGACTAAGCTAAAGGCTTAAAGGTTTGGCGTGATGACATTTAGTAGTCTCATTGAGTCACTTGTTAGCAACTGCCATTTCTATGACACATACTACAACTACTACTTCAGACCAAATGTATGTTGTAGAACAAAACTTAAAAATCTCTTAATCTTTTTTAACCACATTTCTTAATTAAGGCAGCTAACCAAAAATCGATTTAAAAAAGTGATTTTACCAGAAGGAGTAAATGCTAACTAATTTCCAGGTTTTAGGACTCATTCTTGCACCATTAAAGGCCATGTAATGCATCTAACACAGGTGTTTTTTAACATGTAGTTTAGATATCACCAGAATAAAAATAAATAAAAATGTTTAAAGTTTGGTCATAATTAAATGACATATACGATAAAAACTGATGTTGGTTCCGAAGTTTGCCGAGTACGCCCCCGATCACTCCCGAACAAGCGGTGACGTCACACGTGGCAAATATTGCCATTTGATCAAATCAGTCCAAATGGCAAGCAACGCGACAACTTCAGACAGCGAAGTTGTCGGTGGGTTATCTGGATTCAGTTACAGAAGTAGAGAGTGAACCAGCTAGCCTTTCACTTCAAGGCATCTTGCCTTATCAGTACGAGCCTCCTGCCCGGCAATCGAACAACGAGGCAGAAACTTGTGAAAGAGAAGCGGATTCCGCAGCCGGCAAGACTCGAGTCGGCAATACTGAATGGTAAATTCTGTTTTATTTCATTTGACCTGCACTAAATGTCGATCTTAATTTGTCATCTGTTCCTCACACGTCCGGCAGATATTGTTTTTTTTTTATGTTATGTACAATATTCAGGTGTACATGTCAATGCTGTGAAAGCATGCCCACTGCAGATGAATGTGTATGCTGCAGAGAGATCTGGCAGGTGATGGAACAAATAGACAGTTTGCAACCTACTGACCAGATAGCAGAGTCCTGCATCGGGTCGGGTATCCGCGGGTACCCGACGGGTGACCCGCAAAAAAGGTGATTTGCGGGTGGTATTTTTTCAAACGCTTTTTTCCGGGTTCGCTTCTGGGTAAAACAAAGATGATGCGGGTCGGGTTGCGGATGTTGCATAATAAATATATTTAAACAATAATAATTTAGTTTAATGTTTAAATCCTCAGACCTCTCCTCCGCGGGACCGAGCATAATCATAACCTCTGCAGTGCATCTATCTGCTGCTGAGCGCACCACATTCTGAATGGCTGAGGTGAAGCTCTCTTAGCGGAGAATACAGCATTTTCAATAACTCTTCCTCAAGAGTGAAATCCAACGTCTGGGAGGCTTTTGGTGTCATCCTAGATGGAGAAAATAACCAACATCCCAGGCTTTTTGAGCCAAATATGCAACTGCGTGTGTTAATAATTGCACGTTTTCACTGCTTATATATATGGGTTCGGGTCGGGTTGCGGATCTTGTGCCGGCGGGTCGGGTCGGGTTGCGGAACTAATTTATAATCTGTATACTTTTTTTTCATTAGGAAGTATCGATATACAGCTTATCGACAGTTTGTACGTTGGTGCTGGGGTGTACTCGGCCCAAAAATCAGAGTCCCGCTGCCTGCATGTGCTGTAACCGAGATACGGAAGACTTACCCTGAACCGGGAGGCCGCTATCAGGGATTTCAATGGCCAAATCTGTAATTTGACATAAGTCATGCAGCTGAACTGGTTAAAATGGTTTCGCATGATGTAAATAATTTACAAAGTACATCATTTACAATATTATTTTTCCAAAGAAACATGTAAATATAACAACATTTTCCAAATCACAAGTTTGTAAGATTGTATTAATTTACTGTTTGATCAATAAAAAAGGGTTCTTTTGTTAATTTTTCACTTGTAACATTTGATCTTTATTGCAGTGTACATTAGTCTATTTTGGTATATGTGCAAGCCCACAAATAATTAAAAGTGGTAAAAATAATAAAGATATTCAGACGTAATTCATTTTTGGCCTTACTTATTTCACTTCAACTTTTATATATTTCAGTCACTAGGCAAGTTCACTGTACTCTGGTGATATTTAGCTCAAGCTGGCATAACACCTGTAGTAACTTAATTCTGACCCGAGTTTTGTGCACAATCTTCCAGCACCCATGATCAATGTTTATAGCAATCAGGAAACATTCACAGCTCACAACTACACATCGCTTCCCCATCATGAATTGTTAGATAAAAAAAGTTTAGCGAGGTCCGGTTACACATATGTTGAGCGAAAATAGCGGAAGGATACAAAACAAACAATCCAGACGAGGCTGGTGTTTGCCACGTGTGACGTCACACAGCTGGGTTAATGGCTGGCAAGCTTTTCGCTACCGGAGCGGAATAACACGGGAAAGTGGCACACATTTCATGTTATTTGGGGGGTATTTATGGAAAGAATCATTGATGTTGATATGTCAAATGAAACAGTGGAAAGTGATGAAGCGATTTATTAACACAGAATAACGTTTATTTTGGACATTTCATGGACTTTAAGTATTGAATCATACAATGCACATTGTATTGTATTGTAGACATTTACACATAGCCGTTTTTTATTTTTGAAGGACATATTATTACCTTCAGCATTAGATAATACAATTCATCCCATAGCAGCGAAATAAAATGTTACTTTGGTCTTGTTAATGTGCTCCCTGAAGTTAGTGTCTGCACTGTGTGTCTCGTCAGAGATCACACAGTGAACTGTTTTTATTAACACCAACATAGAGCCAACTCCTATTCTAAGAAATAATTTAAAAGGATTGTCTTGCTTTGCAGTGTGCTAGATGAATTGAATCAACATGTCCTATACTCGGCTTTGTCAGGATTTGAGTTTCATGTGTTAAGTTTTGGGTTTATTTTGCTGTTCTGTGTTCCCTGTCTCATGTTTTCCTCCTTGTGTCTTCTCAGGTCCTACTTCCTGTTTTTGCCCTCCTGTCGTTAGTTTCCCTGGTGTGTCTGATTGTCTCATTGTGTTCACCTGTTGCCCTTGTGTTTCTCCCTCCTTTACCCGGCTGTTTCTTGTCCCGTGATTACCCCTCTCTGTATTTAGTCTTGTCTTTCCCTGTCGGTTCATTGTTTGTCTTCCCTTCACGTCACGCTCTATGTTTGTCCTTGAAGTTTCTGATCCTGGATTCTGTACTCGTGCTCCCCTGTTTTGGTAATGTTAAGTTTGTTTCTTGTTTTCTTTTGTCATCAGCTTTTTGTAAAATAAAGCTCGCTTTTTGTAAAATAAAGCTCGCTTTTTGTTAATACTGCATTTGGGTCCTACCTTTCCCGAATCGTGACAGGCTTATCTAATTGTTCAAGTTTGGAGCTACATTAGACTGTAGTTAGATTGTCAGCCAAAACAGCACTATGTCTGACTTCTCAGTTGAAAAGAAGCTGTAGAAAGGTCTTTGGGTTTTGGTATTTACAAATGTTGTTTGTTTTAAATGATAAAAGCTGAGTTTAATTACATCTAATTCTGTATTGCATCCAGCTCTGGTGGTGAGTACTACACAGTCTGAAAAGAAAACTTCTTGTCTTACAGTACGTCACAGGAGAATGTTTAAATGAATCTCTGAAACATTGCCATGCTTCTAAGAGTAGCTCCAGCTCCCCAGTTACCTATGATGTCTACATTCTAAAACCTCTGAGATTAGCACTAAATAGGACAGAAAATAACTTTTTTTAAATGTTTTGACATTTTATTGATAAGACCAAGTTTTAGCCCTGGTACCAAACCATTTTTACAAAGGGAAAAACGTGTTTTACAGGAGCTAAGAGTTACAACTGAATAAGATTTTAAGACAAAAATTGCATGACAGATTCACATTCTACCCACACCGAAATAAACTATTAGGATGGGTGGATAATTAAGGAGCAGGGTTATGGTCCTGTGTTTGCCATGCACCACCTGCAGCCCTAGAGAACCATGTAGCGCAAATACCAAGCACCACAGACAGGTAGCACGTCCAATGACATCAGTGTGCCCAAAATAGTGCCAGGAGCAGCGCCACCAATAAGTCAACGGATTGTTTTTGTGAATGAATGTTGCTGCGAGACCTCTGTTTCTGAAGTCAAGACATTGGCGAGTCCTAAAGTTGCTAAAAAAAAAACATGGATTTGAACGTCTAGCAAATTGAAGATGAAGAAGTTGAACCCTAACCGTAACTCTAGCTTACCAATATTCAGAAATTAATTAATCTGACAAGAGGTTTTCAATTGTTCGTGCACTCAAGTTTAAATTAAATCTGTGTGTATGGATGTTTCATAAAGGATTGTCCATGTCTCTTCAGCTCTTCCTTGATGAGCTCTCTGCTGCCCAGACCACCAGAGAAGAGTCATACTTTATCAGCAGTTAAGTGCTCCTGTCAATTAGCACGATGAACCTTCTTTTGATCTTCCTCTTGGCCTGAGGGTTCAGGTCCATAGATAAACATCGCTGTCAGGGAATCCTTTCTCACAAGACTTTGTTGAATTCTCGATTCTTATTTAGCGATCTGTTATTTATTTGATAAGACTGTTGGTATGGATGCCCCTTCATAAACTTTGGAGGACTATGCTAAATTGTTTCGATGCCCAAAAATACATCCGTTTTGGCATCAGAAAATCTGTTTCATCAGAAAAAACAAACTGTAAATAGTTTTCTAATATTAATATATTATATAATTAATAAGTATATTTTGAGAGCACACAACTTTAGATTTATGATAAATGGCTTAACTTTCCCTAGTAAGTAGAAGAAAAAGAGAACAATTGAACAGCGCAAGAGAAGGAAAGAGTTTGAGAAACAGAGAGCTGGAGGACAGAAAACAACAGAAGAAGACAAACAGGAAGTAAACACCAACAGGAACATGGTATGACTCCTGTAGTGTTGGAGTGTAGGAAAATAAAACGTTCACACTTACGGGGCGGAAAACCTTGATTAGTGTTGCTGTCATCAGTTTAAATATCCCAAAGGTAAAACGTAGCCTACTCTGTTGCCAGTTTGACGTGATGCATTGTTGCCATGAACGCAGTTCCAACTATTGTAACACACAAATCCTAAAATGCTTTAAACTATTATATGATCCTATTATTGGACTGTACTTTTTGTGTTGTTACAATTCCGGTCTTGAACAATTTCAACTTGCCTGGTCGAATACTTAAACTGAAGACTCTTTGGCTGCATAATTAAAATAAATATCTTCTATATTTTTGGTATCTTTGGAACTTTTGAGAACTCCTCAACAATTCAAAATGAAGTTATGTGAGTTCAAACAATATGTCTGTGAACATCATACGAACACAACAGGAAGTCAGTGAGGTCTTAGAGGTTCAATGAAATTGACATACAATTGTTCAAATGCAAATAAGTTATTTATTTTAGCTTGGAATCGTCCATATGTGTTGGACATGCTGTCTGCTCGGTTCTGAAGACACTCACCTTAAACTTGCCGTGGAAGATGACATCTTGTAAAAAATGTGGAGCCTGTTGCTCAGACCCTGAGGTTGGAGAGAGGTCGACTCCCACTTCTGCTCCCTCTGTCATTGTCCTGCAGGTAGAAAGTCAGTGATGTGCCGAACAGCTGTTTCCAAGCACAATACTCCGCTGTGTGCTCCTCCTGTCTCTCCGTTTGTGTCTCTTGTTTGAGATGATATGTGATAGCATCTGGCGTACCGGCCCCTCTCCTGCCTCGCCTCCTCTTTTCTTGTGACTTGCCACTTTTCTGTGGATTTGCTCTTGTCTCGTAAAGCTCTGTGTGGATCTGTGTCTCAGTGAGGAGCTGCGAGACTGCAGCTCTGTTACTTGAGAAGCCGCCTCTGAGCCAAGATCTAAACTTAGACAACGATAAAACTCTGATGAACACAAGGTGCCCTCCCTCACTCTCTCAGTCTGTACTCGACTGTAATCACTACAAGATCTGCCGCAGCAGTACACACACACACACACACACACACACACACACACACACACACACACACACACACAACCTCTGTCAGTCAATGACTTAATCACACACATTTGATGCATTGCATGTAAAACAAATGACAGCATGGCTCACAAAGTGAAAACGTGTGTGTGTGTGTGTGTGTGTGTGTGTGTGTGTGTGTGTGTGTGTGTGTGTGTGTGTGTGTGTGTGTGTGTGTGTGTGTGATGATATCAGGCTGCAGACTGAATGAATTCATGCTCAGCTATGAGTGGGGACCCTTAGTGATCTAAAACAGCAGCAGTGCTGGGGAACCCCAGTAGTTACAGAGCTGCTATCTCTGTGGAAATGAGAATCTCAATGCTTCGTTAATCCCAGGGTAAAATTAGGTTTGTAACATTAGAATCAAGTAAATAAACATTTATGAAGAAATATGTTGAGAAAAAAACCTCTGAGATTAGCAATGAATAGGACACATCATACATTTTTTTTATAATATTGCCATTTTATTGATAAAACCAAGTTTTAGCACTGGTACCAAAGGATTTTATATGCCTTACATAGGATAACAATTGGGATTTTTTTTACCAAAACTTTGTCCAGGAGCAAACAGTTACAACTGAATACAATTCAAAAGATTGCATGCCAGATTCACATTCTACCCTCACCAAAATAAACTATTTGGATGGATAATTAAGGAGCAGGGTGATGCAGGGCCTGTGTTTGCCGTGTGGAGAACCATGTAGCGCTAACACCAGGCCCCACAGACAGGTAGCACGTCCAATGACATCAGTGGGCCTAAAATAGTGCCAGGAGCAACGCCACCAATGTACCGACTGCATCTAATATCAAGTAAGTTAACGGACAGTTTTTGTGAATGAATGTTTCTGTGAGACCTCTGTTCTGATGTCAAGACATTGACAAAAAGTTTTTCTCAAAAATAATGTGGATTTGAAAATAAATTGATACTGCATTAGGTTACATAACATCTTTATTGTTTTGTTTATATATAAAGTGGTGCAGGAATGAGTCCTAAAACACAGAAATAAGTTAGCATTTTACCACTTTCGGTTCCCTTGTCTTGACGTTTTTTGAACATGTTTTTGGTTAAATGACTTCTGTGAATCTGTGGAACTCAAGCTGAAGAGATTTTCACATTTTGTCCAAGACATAATACACATCAGTGAATACTCCAGCTTCTATCTGTCATATGAAAAGCGATTGCTAACATGTGACTAATTGCATGCATTTTTTAGGTCATTGTGAATTATTAAGTCAAATTTGTGTCACATTTTCTGTACAGTACACTTTCTTTGTCTTTTGTGTACACATAAGCTTTCCTTTGACCAGGAGATACAAAAGCAGTACTATTTTTTGTCCTTAACTTCACAGTTATATGGTGAAATGTGTTTAAAAGAAATACAGAGACATTGTCCAGGACACATTTCTAGAGAGACTGTGAGAATGATCCCAGTTGTGCGATAGCTAAAACTCTGGAATATAGACTAAATACAGTTTGAGTGATTGACTTCATTTATGTTAGTGTTAGCTTTTTAAAGAGGAGCCCAGGAAACCTGTGACATTTTTTTCCTGAAGTATATTAAAAAGTGAGCAAAACACGGAGCTTGAAGTGAATTTTCTGTGGATATCCGTCTGTGAAGCTGTTCCAGGAAACTGTCTTTCTTCCGTGATTGTTTACTTTGTGAGAACTGAGATCGAGAAACTTTCTGTACAACCTCTTATTCCTGACACTTCAATCCCACAAGCTTATGTAACACAGCGGCAACATCCGCACTCAAGGGTATTTATAGACTTTAAGAGTTAAAAAAATATACAGAGAATCGAGCAAAAGGAAAGCAGGGACCTTGTAGAGCCCAGGTCCCTGGAGAGAGCATGTGTCTGACTCGATGCTGGGAGCAAGATGTGGGGGTCAGAGGTCAGTTCTCACAGGAAACAGAAGGAAGTGGTTTTTGTGTTCACATACTGTATCCCAGCTTTTCCAACAACAATGGCCAAAACGTTGTGTATACCAGTCAAATGAAGTTAATCATCCTGTATATTTTTATCTGGATCTTACGGACCCTTCAGTGGTTTAGTGTTTGTTGCTTCAGCCTCAACAAACTAAGAGGCCAGAGAATTGGCTAAGGCTCTTGTTAGTTTTGTATGATGATGGATCACTGAGCATCTACTCTGTGTATGTCACAAAAGAGTAACATATGCTCATATATAATTAATGAGGAATAACTCATTAAGAAAGTGGCGACATGTCATATTTATGTTTCAATATAATAATTCAATGAAATATATTATAATTTATAAAACGGACAAGTCAAATCAAGCAATCTGATTGGTTCTTAGCCGTGATATACTGAGCGTCGGGCCAAGGCAACGCCCCTTAG